AGAAAAGAATAAATGCTGAAAACTAGGACCTGGGAGGGGAAGATTAAGAATAATAATAAAAAGGACAAAAGTATTAATAATATTAGTTGTTTTAAAACAGACAAATACAAGCAAACTAATCACCAGAAAAAAAGAAAGCGAAAAAGAAAGAAATAAAAATAAAAGTAAGAATATTGGTGGAGGACAGGGCAGGGCACCCAGGCTCTGTCTGAGCACACAGACTGTGATGGAGTTCCTGTGGGCCCAGAATGTAGGTGGGATTGAGGGATGGCTGCATCTCCGTTCACCAAGTGGGTGTGGGGTATAAGAGTAACAAGAGGAATGGTATACCTTGTCAGTCTTGTAGGTCCCGTGTGTCCTTGGGGTTGCTGGAAAGCAGACGTGTTCTTAAGCCCCAGGAATCTGCGAGAGCACTGTCTCTTTAAATATCCAAAATAGTCAAGCTGCTTTTAAAACCTTCAAAATGGCGGCACCCTCCAGATGGCAAAAGTCCACAGCTCAGCCCACCTTTCTCTTCACCTTCTGCGTTTGTTCCCCAGCCACCGTGCACAGTCCTACGTGCAGTCCCTGGCTAGAAAGGTGATTTTTAGGTTAATTCTTAGGTCCTACCACCACTTGGGAATCTCCAAGCTGTCTGTGCCATCAGGATCGCTGCCAGACCACAGCTCCGTCTGTCTGCTTTTTTGGTATTTTCACGCAAATTCTTCTGCTAATTGGGGTTGAGTCCACTTCTATATCCTTCCCTTCAAGGCTCAGGAGTCCAGATTATCTTCTGTGTCTATGTTAATTGGTTTCCCTTTTCTTTGTTGAAGAGGGTCTGTGCAGTCTTTCTGCCTAGTCCACCATCTTGCCAGATCTCATCTATTTAATTTTTAATGTTAGCAAATACATTTTTTGTTTTTAAAGATTCTATTTGGCTCTCAGGAGCTCTGGTAGTGTAGTGCCTAAGGCACTTGACTGCTAACCAGAAGGCTAGCGGGTCAAAGCCACCAGCCACTCCTCGGAAGGTCCGACTCAAAGGCACATAACAACAACAACAATATTTGGCTCTCTAAGGACCTCTGGTGGTGTAGTGGATAAGGCAATTGTCTGCTACCCAGAAGGTCAGCTGTTCAAACCTACCAGCTGCTCCACGAAAGGAAGATGGGGCGATCTGCTTCTGTAAAGATTTACAGCCTTGGAAACCAATGGAGGTCGCTATGAGTCAGATTCAACTCAATGGCAGTTAGTTTGGTTTTTTGTGGTTTTTTTTTTTTTTGTGTGTGTGTGTGTATTTGGCTCTCTTTTAAATCTGCCTAGTCTATTACTCATTTTTATTTTACTTTTTATTTCTTTAAACAATTCATACATATTTATTTTATATTCTATACCTAAAATAATAATATCTGAGATCCTTGGGGGGTTTAATCTGTTCTTTTGTTGTTTCCATTAATTTTCATTGTTAATGGCTTGTTTCCTTATGTTTTTGGTGATCTTTAATTGTAAGGTGGTATTTGCCTGATATTAATCTGTGGAAATCCTAACTGCTCTCTGATCTGATACTTCATACTTTGGCCCACTGAATGTATTTCAATTATTTTCTTTTTCAATTCTCACACTCGTTTGGTTGTTGTTTTTCTCTCCTTATTCTTTATTCACACTTTGAAGTACATTTTTTACTTCTTATAATATATTAAACTAAACTTTTTTTTTTTTTTTTTTTTTTTTGTATTCATTACAATCTCTGAAATCTTTGCAGGTCTTATTCTGATGTCTGTTGCTTCTGTTGACTCTGATTCATGGTGTGTTGTTTCCTTGGGGGTTCAATTATTTATCATTATTTTTGTAATCCATCCATTTTAGTTGAAACTTTATTTGGTGTAAGTCTTTGGGGTCTTAAGTGAAACTGGGTTTCTATAGAAATGATTCTGTTGGGCATCTGGGACATTACCACTCTAGGATCTCCTTAAACTAAATTCTTAGCCTGACATTTTTCAGTTTACTCAGGTTGTGTGATTTTGGGCAGCAAATCCCCATGAGTGGTGTTTGTAGTTACATATTGTCTGGGGAGATTTTTACCTTTCTGCCCTTGCATTATATGACCTTGTTTTCCTTGCAGTCTTGAGGGTAGGAGAGGGATTGTGGATGTTTTGGTTAATCTGGTTCATTCTTTTTTTAAAAAAAAGCTTTTTATTTTGAAATAATTATAGATTCCTCACAACTCTGTACACCTCAACCTACTACCTCTCCTTGAATATTGGCTGAGTATTTAATCTTAGAAAGGTTAAACCAGAGAGACTCTGAACTCAGGAACATCAGACAGCTGAAGGTGGAATGCTATACTAAAAACAGGTGGATTCAGCAAAAAATCTACATCAGGAACAGATTAACATGAAGCAAAATGCATTCAGTGCTCATTTGAATGAGCCCCTATTAAAGGGAGACTTAGCAGTTTATTATATTTGGTAGTCCATATATGGGAGCTCTGGTGGTATAGTGAGTGCCTAAGGCATTTGACTGCTAACCAAAAGGCTGGCAGTTCAAACCCACCAGCCACTCCTCGGAAGGAAGATTGGGCAATCTATTTCCATAGAGATACTGCCTCAGAAACCGAAGGAGGGGTTGCTATGAGTCGGAATTGACTCGATGGCAGTGAGGTGAGACAGTCCATGTATGTGTGTGTCTTAATCATTCTTACATTAAGAGTAAATCCACGGGGCTCCAGCTTTATGGAAAGCACACCCCACCCACTTTGGCATGCTTTATTCCGCACCCACCCCCACTAAGGCAAATGAAACCACAGAAATTTCACTCAATTTCGCAAATGCCCTCAAAATGACAGGTAACTTCAGTGCTCCGCTTACCTTTCTAACTTTCCATCTACACACTAGTCCTTGACCCACATATTCTCTCTTTATTAGTTTCCAGTAGGAAAGTTAGTGTTTGCCTATAATCTACCATGTTGCTGGAGAGCCAATTTAACCCTCAAAAACATATTGATATCATCCTATAGACTGTGAAACTATGTGACATTGTGAGAGACTATCTACTGTACTAGAAATGCATGAGCTTGGAGGAAGGCAGACCTGGGCTTGAATTATGACTTCATCACTTAGTTAGCTGTGTAAATTTGGACGAGTCACTTCATGTCTGTAAGCCTCACTTTACTCATCCAAAATAGATTTCCATCTTCATAATAGATATCTCATAGATTTGTTGGAGGCATCAAAATGTTTCGTATTTTATTAAGTAGCTAATTTGAATAAATGGTAGTTGCTCCTATCATCATTGTTCTAATTGTTGTTAAATATTCAGTAACTTGCCTAGGGTCATTCAACTAGCACACAGGGTTGGGGGTTCAGACCTAAGTCTGTAATTCTACAGCCCATGCTCTTTTCTCTACACCATATTGCTTTCCTTATTTTCTTTAGAAAACATTTATGGAGGAAAAAAAGAAGATAATAATTCACAGGTTTTTCATTCATTTATCTCTATCTTATCTAAATAAACCACAAATATTTAAATGGCTAGGGCCTATCAAAGGAGCCCTGGTGGCACAGTAGTTAAAGAGCTCAGCTGCAAACTGAAACTTCAGCCTTTCAAACCCACCAGCCACTACACAGGAGAAAGATGTAGCAGTCTACTTCTGTAAAGATTTATAGCCTTGGAAATTCTATGGGGCAGTAATTCTACTCTGTCCTATATGATCAGTATGAGTCCGAATCAACTTCATGGCAGGGAGTTTGGATTTTTTGGTTTAGTGCCTATGAAGAATAAAAAAAAAAAAAAAAGATGGAGAAGGAAGAAGAAGGAGGAAGAAGAAGGGGGAAGAAGAAGGAGGAAGAAGGAGGAGGAAGAAGAAGGAGGAAGAAGGAAGAGGAAGAAGGAGAAGGAGGAGGAGGAGAAGGAGGAGAATGAGGAGGAGGAGGAGGAAGAAGGAGGAGGAGGAGGAGGAAGAAAGAGGAGGAGGAGGAGGAAGAGGAGAAGGAGAAGGAGGAGGAGAAGGAGGAGGAGGAGAAGAAGAAGAAGAAGAAGAGGAAGAAGAGGAAGAGGAAGAAGAGGAAGAGGAAGAAGAATTATTACAGTCCTTGATTGCAAATATTCCAGTAGAACTATAATTCCCTCAAGCAGAGTTTAATGTGATAGTTAAATGTTCAGGCTTTACAGTCATAAAATTTTGGTTTGAGTCGCAGCTTCTTAACCTCTGAAATACTCAACACTTGATCTGTTAAATGAGAATGGTAACAGTAACTCCCTACAGGGATTATTGGGAGGATAAATTAATACATTTAAAACAGTGCCTGAAAAATAGTAAATGCTCCAACGACAGTTGTTATTACCAAAGACAGATAGTATATTTTCTATTTCACTCATTAGTTAAGTTGACCAACATTTATTTAGTGCCCTTATGTGCCTAAGGCATCTGACTGCTAACCAGAAGGTTGGTGGTTCAAACCCACCAGCCACTCCGTGGAAGCAAGATGGGGCAATCTACTCCATAAAGATTTACCACCTTGGAAACCCAATGGGGGTCTGTTTGAGTTGGAATCAACTCAGTGGCAGTGGATTTATGTGCACTAAAGAAAATATAAGGCAATCAACCTACTTGATACTAAACAGGCCATTAAATAAAAAGGAAACTAAATTTGATTCCTTACAACAAATAGTTTATTATTTAAGATAGGCAATTCTGCCACAGACTGGCTCCATCACCCATCAGTCCCTGAAACTACTGACACACTTAGAATGATTATTCTCCCTGAGAATGCTTAAAGGCTCAAATATCTTTGCATGGTCACCAAACATTTCTATTTCTGCTTTAGAAAAGAATCTCCTCTCTCCCATAAAGAACACAAATATACAGACAGAAAGACAATTTCTTTTTGCTGGTTTATAAAGACTTATTTTACAAATACATGACAATATGAGAATATATAAGGTGATAAAGAAATATCTAAAAGGGTTGACTTCCTGCCAATAATCTGAAAAATATGTATCACTAAACGTCAGGCCATATTTACCTTCTTCCTTTGTTCTTCCCCATCCAGTTATGAAACATTTTGTGTTTTGGTTCAGGTTTTGGAAGACATCAAAAGGTAGACAAATAGGCTGAATATAGTCATTATACCTCACTGCTTTTTTTAAATGAAAAAGCGCTATATCATTTACATAAGATTCCAAATCGAAGTCTGGATGGACTATGATTGCATTAATTTTTATCTTCTTAGTGTATGGATAATTCACATTAATTTTATTAGTTCCAATCACAGCTCTCCACATAAAAGGATTTCTGAAAGAGAATAAACGTTCTTATTACAATCACATTTATTTAACTAATTAAATATTCTTAATTTCCCAATAATTTTTGTTTTCCCATATTAAACTAATAACAAAAAGATTTTTAATCTTACTTTCATGTGATATAAAGTATAAAATAAAACCTAAATACCATGATATAAGAAAGGAACAAAAAGACCAATAGAACTAGAAGTCCAGAAATGATTCAAGCACATAAGAATTTAATCAAAGTAGCATTTCTTATCAATGGACAAAAAGGATAAATTAGTCAATAAATGGTACTGGGACAGCTGGCTAACCCACTGAAAAGAGAAATAAAATTAGATCCCTGAAATGGACTAAACACCAAAATAAACTCCAGATTAATTAAATATTTAAATGAACAATAATAATAATTTAAAAATTTTCTAAGAGAAAAAGAACAAGAGAACAAGATTACTTCTTAGGAGTTAAAACTATGATTTCTGGAGGAAAAGGAAGTGCCAAGTTCAAAATAGTGGCCAGCAGGAGGCTGGTGAAGGAGCTTAAAGAAATCCACAAATGTGGAATGAAAAATTATAACAAGCATCTGGCTTTATAAAACTAATTTATTCATTTAGCAAGGGCTTCTTTTTTCTGGCAGTCTTCTGTTTGACAAGGGGGCCTTCAGAATAGAAATCATCTTTTCAACAAACTATCCATCTTCAAATCACTGCAGATCATATTTAAAATAAAAGCTATTACCCTAACCTTGATTTAAAAAAAAAAAAAAATCTGTCCTAGTAATTAGTGCTAAAAACGGGACACCCACAGTGAAAACGAAGTAATCAGTACTTCATAGCACTGGTGAAGGGCCCTGAGCTTCAACACATGCTTCAGGCTGACCCAGCTGAAGAATATTCTTAAGTTTTTTTGTTTTGTTTTTAATCTCCAGGGTTTTTACAAAGAGGTTACAGCATGGGGAAAAACAATCTGCCATATTTAATTCCAGCAAGTATAATGGAAATTAGGAATTTAGAGCAGCGCCTTTCACACAATTCAGCAGGACTCCAGAGAAAACTGACTTCAGTTTTCTTGTCTGGCATCAGCTGTGGAAATTATTAAATTTCTACAATTTTCTTAAACGCAAACTAGGTAACCTCTAAACAGTTTGTTTAAAAAATTTTTAAGTTCCAGTTCTGCTTTGTCAAGAAGAAATCACTGCTGTAATCTACTTTGAAATAAAGTTTCTTTACTTTCCAAGTTTACTCCAGTCAATTTATATTCAGTCCATAAGATTACACTACTCCTCACTTATCGACTCTCTCATTATCCAACATCTCACACTTATAATAACAGTAAAAAATCTATTATCTGACTATTTTGCTACTAACATCAGGCAGAAACAAACGCCAAGGTATGAGGTGACAGCAACACTAGCTGTGATGCTTAAGGTTGTGTGTCAGCTTGGCAGGGCCTGATTTTCAATGGTTTGGCAATTATGTAATAATGTAATTTGGCCATTAGGCAATGATGAAATTTGGCAGTTATGTAATGATGTGACTTGGCACTTATGCAAGATGTAACTTGGCAGTTATGCAATGATATAATTTGGAAGTTATGTAATGGTGTAATTTGGCAGTTACACAATGATGTAATGTGATGTCATGTGGTCATCCTCCATTTTCACATAAAGCCAATTTTCACACAACGATCTGGTCTTTGGAACCTAGTCATGTTGATTAAGTGAGGAGTTGTCATGTGCCATCAAGTCGGACCTGACTCATAGCAACCCCTCCTTGGGTTTCTGAGGCAGTATCACTACAGAAGTAGATTGCCCCATCTTCCTTCCAAGGAATGGCTGGTGGGTTTGAACTGCCAGCCTTCTGGTTAGCAGTCAAGTGCCTTAGGCATTATGCTACCAGAGCTCCCAAGTGAGGAGTGGGTGTGTTTAAAAAATAGTAACAATTATAATTCACCTTTCTACTCCTTTTTATTTCTCACTTTTTTACATTGCTTATTTTTCATTTATTTTCCAAATTTTTGAAAAGTATAACCCTTCCCAAAGAAGAAGAAATGACTACCAGTATTCTGGTTAATTTCTCTTTCAATGTTGCATTTCATAATTTGTGTTTTCTCTCTTTTTTCTTGGTTAGCTTGGTGACAGGTTTTTCAGTGTTACTGATCTTTCCAGTTTCCAAAGAACCAGCTTTTGGTTTTGCTGATTTTCTCTATTGTTTTCCTGTTGTCAATTTCATTGATTTCTCCTCTAAATTGTATTATTTCTTTTCTTCTGTTTAAGGAGCTCTGGTGGTAAAGTGCCTAGGGCATTTGACTGCTAACCAGAAAGCTGGCAGTTCAAACCCAGCAGCCACTCTACAGAAGGAAGATGGGGCAATCTACTTCTGTAAACATCTGCTGCCGTGGAAACTTAATAGAGGTCACTATGAGCTGGAATCAACTTGCTGGCAGTGGGTTTGGTTTTTGTTTTTGTTTCTTCTGTTTGCTTAGGTTTCTAATGCTCTTGTTCTCTCTCTCATTTTCTAAGGTGTAAGCTTAGATTATTTATTTTACATAAAGGAGAACCTTTTCAAAACTATACATTCAATGCTATGCATTTCCCACTAAGCACTTCTTTGACTATGTCCCACAAATTTTGATAAGCTGTATTTTCATTTTCATTTACTTAAAATATTTAAAAATTTCTCTTGAGATTTCTTTTTGACTCAATTTATTATTTAAAAGTGTGTTATTTTATCTCCAAATCTTTTGGGATTTTCCAGCCATCTTTCTGTTATTGCTTTCTAGTTTAATTCCACTGTGGTCTGACAGCATACTCTGTATGATTTCCATCCTTTTAAATTTGTTGAGACTGTGATGTACTTTAGTGGATGTTTTATGTGAGCTTGAGAAGAATGTGTATTCTACTGTTACTGAAGTATTTCCACGAAAATTCTTTGATCACTCTGGGAGATTCTGTATGCTCTTCATTTTGCATTAGCTTAGGGTCTCCTCTTCAAGGTAGGATGTTGGTCAATTTTATGGCCTTGTTGTTGTTGTTAGATGTCATTGAGATGATTCCAACACAGAGAAACATTGCTTGATCTTTTGTCATGCTCACAATCACCATCGTGTTTAAGCCCATTGTTGCAGCCACTTCAATGAAGTAGTAACCTTTCTTCAGCAAAGATACGATGTTAAAGCTTTTCTTGTATTGGGGTTTTGAGCTGGCCAAATTCTTGGGAACAACTTGACATAACTAAAATGGTTATGTTAATACATACATAGATAGTTTTGTTAATACATATAATTCTTTTCACAGTCATTTGTGGTAAGGGTGAAAGTATTTGATACATATCTTATACAACATTTGATTATAGTTGCAATAATCAAAATGAATATTGGATCTGTGAGTAGTACAGATCTAATCCATGATTCAACACCATTTCGCTACAAGCTAAAGATATCAAAGAAAGAAAGAACAGTCATGGGGGTTATTGAATGTAATCAAGTAGCCTTCTGGATCTTTGTGAGATCTTGTTCAACTTCTCCAGAGGTGTTGATCCAAGAATACCAGGAGATATTAACAATGGCATAGATTTCTCCTTTTTGAGCCAGGGGAAAATCTAAAGTTGTTATACTGTCTAAGACTACTTTGGTTAATGATTCTAAAGACTTCTATTAGACTGATATCCTACCAGCAACACTGTCAGCAATTTAGGTCCTGTTAGCTGACAGGTTGCAAATGGATTCTTCTAATTGCAATATACTTCAAAGCTTGAAGAAAAGACAAACTCCTTCCAGGCCTAAATCAGCAAGAGTTCATCATTTATAATGCAATCAACAGTTGATCTGGAATAATAGCAAGCATTATCAACAAGGGGACATCTGAAACATTTAGGTTTAATCAAACTTTTACACGTATGACTCTTAAAATGTCTTTCCAATTTTACATAGCATTGGGTTTATAAATATAATTAGAAACTGGAGTAGTAATGGGGTCAGAAAGATCTTGCATGGAGAGGAGTGACATATCTAACAGTTCATCAAACTGCTAGCATTAGCAAATGATTGTACTAACTCAATAAAGATATTCTTTCTAAGTATTAACAGGAGTTAGAGAAAGTAACTCTTGCCAAAAAGCCAAGCTGTATTCAGAAGAAGATGTGGAATGAGGGATGTCACTGCTGATGTCAGATGGATATTGGCTGAAAACAAAAAACACCAAAAAAAAAAAAAAGTTTACCTGTGTTTTATTGACTATGCAAAGGCATTCAACTCTGTGGATCATAAGAAATTATGGATAACACTGTGAAGAATGAAAATTCCAGAACCACTTCATTATGTTCATGAGGAACTTGTACATAGACCAAGAGCCTATCATTCAAACAGAACAAGGGGATAATGTATAGTTTAAAATCAGGAAGGGTGTGCATCAGGACTGTATCCTTTCACCATATTTATTCAATCTCTATGCTGAGCAAATAATCCCAAAAGCTGGACTATATGAAGAAGTATGTGAAATAAGGATCAGAGGAAGACTCATTAACAGCCTGTGATATGCAGATGACACAACCTTACTTGCTGAAAGTGAAGATGACTTGAAGGACTTACTGATGAAGATCAAAGACCACAGTCTTCAGTACGGATTACACTTCAACATAAAGAAACAAAAATCCTCACAAGTGGACCAATAGGCAACATCATGATAAATGGGGAAAAGACTGAAGTTGTCCAAGATTTCATTTTACTTGGATCCACAATCAACACCCATGGAAGCAGCAGTCAAGAAATCAGATGTCATATTGCACTGGGAAAATCTGCTGCAATAGACCTTTTTAGTGTTTAAGAGCAAAGATGTCACTTTGAAGATTAAGGTGCACCTGACCCAAGCCATGGTATTTTCAGTTGCTTCATATGTACATGAAAGCTGAACAATGAATAAGGAAGACCACAGAAGAATTGATGCATTTGAATAGTGGTCTTGGCAAAGAATATTGAATGTACTATATGGATTTCCAGAAGGAGCTCTGG